AATGGGGCCGCTGCTGTGGCAAACAGTCCGGCAGCCCCTCAAGCAGTTAAACATAGAGTCACCGTTAGATCCAGCTGCATGTCCCTAGCCCAGAGAGGAAACACATGTGCACCCCAAAACCTGCACGCACATGCTCATAGCACCGTTCCTCACAGCCAACACTTGGGAACAACCCGGATGTCCATCAGCTCATGAACGGGTATTACGTAAGACGTGGTCTGTCTCTACAGTGGGATAGTACTTGTCAGTGAAAGGGAATGAAGGTCTGGACCCTGCTGCACGTGGAGGAACCTCGAACACCTTATGCCAAGGGAAAGAAGCCAGACACGAGGGACCTTCTTATTCCCTTTATATGAAACTAGGCAAATCAGAGAGACAGAGAGTTAGCTTAGTGAGCTGGGAGTTGGCGGAAATGACAGCTAAGCAGTATGAACGTGTTCTGGAATGGATTGTGGTGATGGATGCACAGCTCCATAGACTAAATGCCACTGAATTGTGTACTTGAGTGTGTGAACTGTCTGGTATGTGAATTCGACCTCAGTAAAGCTGTTTAAAGAACCCCACACAGACCTGGCCCCGGGGGGTACTCCTGTAGGCTAAGTCTGTGACTTCATGAGGAAACTCCTACTGTTTTGTAACGGCTGGCTCTCCTGGCTGGGCAGGGGTGCCTCCTGCCACCGAGCACCCTCTGCCTCTTTTTCTGGGTCTCAGAGCATGGGAAGACCCCCTGGAAAATTTTAATTCCAACCCAATTTGCATTTTGGTTTGGTTAAACAGTTCTGGAACCCTACTGTGAACCAGGCACTAAACTGGGTACTCTCGTGAAAAACGGGGTCTGGATTTGGATGGGCTTGGTGATTCTTGAGTTGGCTTCTCCCTGGGGGTGCTCCTGAGGCTGCTTTTTCTTATTAGTAAAGTGAGGGTTGAACCCCTGGGATTGTGGTGTGAATTAAGCCAACTAGAAGGGGCCTGGCATCCAATAGGCAGAAAATGAAAGTTCCCCTGCGGAGCTCCTGGAGCATGTTCAAAGATGAGTGAGATGTGACCACAAAGAGCTTGAGGTCCACCCTCAGCCAGCATTAGCTACGTAGCACCCAGTGAGAGGCAGGAAGAGGACACCAGACACCTGGCTGGCTCTGGAGCGTGGTTGGGGACCCAGGGAAGGCTCCCTGTGGGAGGGGGCCTCAAGAATGGGAGGATCCCCTTGTTGTATATTGTATTTACTTTTTTTTTTTTTTAGTTTACTTTTGAGAGAGGGGAAGAGAAGAGAATATGAGCCGGGGGAGGGGCAGAGAGAGAAGCAGACTCCTGCTGAGCAGGGAGCCAATGTGGGACTCAGTCCGACGACCCTGGGATCATGACCTGAGCTGAAGGCAGACGCTTAACCGACTGAGCCACCAGGCACCCTGTATTTACTTTATATTTTGAATAAGCAGTCCTATGATGTAAAGTCAGAAGGGTAAATGGTAAAGAGTTTTTCCTAGTGTCTCTTCCCCAAAGGCACCTCCTATTATCCACACCTTGAGTCTCCTCCTAGGAATATTCTACACACATACAAGCAAATGTACATCTCTATAGCAGAGCTCCTGTCAGTGGGGCAGGTTTGACATCTTCCCCTGCTGGTGCGTGGGCACAGAAGGCTTGGGCTAAGGTGGCATTCATGCCACCCTCTCTGCCTCCCAGTCGTGTTCAGCCAGGCTCACCATGGGTCCCATCAGTAGGAATGCTGGCTCCGCTTTCCTTCAGGTCCCCTGGAGAGAGGGGTGCCCATGGAGGGGGTCCTGCCTAGTCCTTGCCTTGCCCATCACACATGCCCATCACACACCCCCTCTCCTTGCATGGTGTGCTCTCCGGGGGACCCCCTGCCGCCTCTCATTGCAGCTCCTGCCCCCTTTCTGGCCTGGCCACTACCTTGTTTTGGTGGAGCTTGTCTACAGTAGCTTCCTGAGAAGGAGTGCCAAGTGCCAGGGAGGTCAGGTGGGGCAGCCCCTATCTTTATTTTACCTGCATACATAATTGATAGTTCAACTGGATGAGAGTTTCAGGTTTGAAATAATTTTTCCTTTGCAATTTTAAAGGATTGCTTTGAATTTTTCTGGCCTCCCGAGTTGCTGTTGAGAAATCCAAACCTCGCCGATGTCTGATTTTTTGTGTCCTTTCTCCCCTTTTCTGAAAACTCACAAGACCTGAAATTTCACAACATGCCTGGCGTGGGTGTGGGTTCATCCATCTTGTTGGCTCTCGGTACGTCCTTCCATGTGGAAATGTGCTCCTGTGCCGGGAGTTTCTTGAATTTGCTGGAACCCCTTTGTTTTTCTCTGTTCTCGCTTTCTGAGACTCCTGTCATTCAGCACCCGGAGCTCTTGGACAGGCCCTCTGATTCTCTTTGCTCTCGGCCTATTTTCCGTTTGTCTTTCTGCTTCCGTTTCTAGGAGGTCTCCCCTACCTTGTCTTCCAGCCCTTCTGTTGATTCGTTTGTTTGTTTCTCCCATCATATTTTTAATTTCCAAGAGCTCTGTTTCCTCTCTGAATGGGCCTTTAACAATATGTGCATAGCCGCCTATGGATTTGCTGGTACTGTAGCCTTCACGTACTTCTTGGAGGATGTCAATGCGTGTTTGTGGTTTTTTTTTTTCCCTTGTGCAGGCTGTTTCCTCCCAGTTGCTTTTTTCTGCTTTCTTTTGGTCTCTACCTTTGAGGGCCTCTGTCCTCAACTGCCCAGTGACCTTTGGTTGCCTGCTCATGGTTGCTCACAGGGGCTAAAAGCTGCCTGGGAGTCAGGTTTCCACCCTGCATGGTAGGTGATATGTGTGTCATTTGTGGGGGAACCTCAGTGTCAGTATCCTGAGGTCTTCCCTTTTGAGCTGTGTCAGGTCTCCGAGGAGGGGAAGAGTGGGCTGCTGTGTTGTGGGAGCAGAGTGGGGTAAAGGGACAAGACAGGTAGGCTTACTTAACATTCCTCCACCATTTTTGACAAGGTAACCAGGCCTTCAACTGTGCCTCATAACCCCCAGTGTAGACCCTGGGCTTTGCCCTCTCCAGAGAGTAAACGTCTGTTCTTCAGGAGAGGGGTGGTCTCCAGCCACATGAGGAGCAGTTCATCCCAGTCCCAGGGGCCCCGGAGCCACGGTTCCCTAGTCTTTCATGGATTCTGGGGAGGAAACTGTTCGATGTGCAGCCTTCCCCACCACCCGACAGGGGCCTCAAGGTCAGGTATCAAGAGCTGCCTTCCAGCTTCCAGAGTTGCATGGGTGTGGTCTCCTCTCCTGGTCTCTCTGTCCTTGGGGCTTTAGAGCTTTAAAAACAACAACAAAACTCTTCACTCAAGTTTTGGTGGGATTTCAGGAGAAAGGAAAATGAGATGCCTCAGGTAGGCTTTGCGCAGGTCAGCACGAGGAGAAGGGTGATCGGGGGGGGCATCCCGGGGAAGACATGCTCCAAGGGAGATGGAGAGTGCTTGGATTCTTCAGGAACAAGAACGAGGCAGTTTGGCTGGAGTCCCAAGATTCAGGAGGCTGATGGGTAATCAGGCTGGAAAGGCAGGTTGCACTGACAGTAGGAGAGGGCCTGCGGGAGGGAGAGCTTACTTGTGGGTAGTTGGCGGGGAGAGGTTAGAGGAGAGTGAAATAAGGCCTGTATTTGGGCGTGCTAACTACCACTAGTATATAGCACAGATTGGTGGCTAAATCTAACCAAGGGTAATGGTTGGTAATGGTTAGGAGGCTTTCGTACTAGTTGAAGTAACACGAAGGGGATAATCTAGGGTGTGTTCATAGAAGTGAAAGGAAGGAGGCCATGAAGGCTTTAAGAGAACTGACAGGCCTCCTTGGCCAGATGGTGGGTAACGGGGAGGGAAGAGCTGAAGATGATCCCTAAACTGAAGCCCTAGGAGATGGAAGACAGGAAGAAGTGTTGGATTTGGGTTTTGGGGTGTGTGTCATTTGGGGGAGCAGGAGGAGGGTGAGGAGGAAGGGGGTAAGTTCTGTTACAGAATAGACATTTGACATGTACATCCAACAGCTATTATTTTAAATCCCAACACTTCAACCTGCAAATGCCTATGTTGGTCAAGAGAGAGGGAGGGCAAGACAAGGTGTCAAGGATATGAACAAAGAAATCAGTCCCTTAGAAAACAAAAGAATAATTATCATGTTGTTAAATGAAATTATCAAAAGAATCTTTAGTTTGATATTCTCACAGGTTAACTGGTGTTGCGGAATGGCTTCTGAGATGCCTTAAGACATGGAGAGAGTGCCAAATTCATTTCTTCCTTAGCTCACCCCCATGTTTTAACTGAATTAAGCACTTGTACATCAGGCTTTTACAAAAAAAAACCAGAGGCCTCTTTATTAGGTTCTGTAGCCAAAAGAGAAAATGGAGAAGGGGTGCCGTTCACCCAGACACACACACACACACACACACACACACACTCATCTCTGCGTCAAGGTGGGCTGCTCGGGCCATCTGGTGCTCTTTCGGTGGCTGTTCAGGAGGTGAGGAAAGGGCCCTGATCGCTAAGTTTGCCAATTTCTGGGGCATACATCTGCCCACTGTGGCCAAGTGTAGGCGTCCAGTGTGATGCCACTGAGCACGGAGTTGGACAGAAGCAGAGTCAGGGAGCCAGTGGGAGTGAGCAGGAGTGAGCTGCATCCTCACGGTGGGTCCTTGGTGACATGATATGGCTGGGCAGATGGACTGTTTCTTAGGTTGTCTTGTTGGGGTCGAGGCGTGTTTCAGTGTCCTCGCAATAAACAGAGTGCTTCATGGCACAGCCCCAGCCCCGACTGGGCCTCGGCTGTCCTCTGGCTCTCCCTTCACAGCCCTTCTCCCGTCACCTCTGTCCATCAGAAGCAGGGCCAGCCCAGCAGCAGTCCAGCTTCTAATTCTAGAAGCTGGGCCAGGCACTAATCCGAGGGCTTCACAAGCATTAACTCCTTTGGTCTTTGTAACAACCCCACATGCCCATGGTGTTGCTGTCACTATGATGAAGAAATTGATGGTCAGAGGTTAAGCAACTTGCCCAGAGTCAGTGGGCTTGGTGGAGCCCTGATCTGAACCCAGGCAGTGGGACCCTGGGATCTTAAGCAGTGTTATCCCCATCCTCTGTGCCAGCATCTGAGAATTCTCTTTACGTGTTTCTTTCGTCCTCACACCCAGTTGGCCCTCAGCACTGCTGGTTTGTTGGGGTAAAATACAGATAAAATACAGGATGCCTAGTTAAATTTAATTTTCGGATAAACAACAAATAATTTTGTAATATGCCCCAAATAGTGCATGGGATATACTCACACTTTGAAAAAAATGTTATTTATCTGAAAATCAGATTTTGACCGAATGGCAGCCCTCGGGTAGTTTTATGTTGGTTGAGAACAGAGTCGGGAGTGTGGGAGGAGACTGAAGTGAGCGGTCTTGCTGCTCGTGGTTCTCTGGCCAGGTTGTGCTGAGGGCTACAGGTCTCTGATCCACAGTATGCTGTAAAGTAAAACATACTTAATATCTAAACTCCAAACATGTTTAACTTTTGCTTTTGTTCCTCTAAAGAAAGAATATTAAAACAGCATTTTGTAGGAACATGCCAAAACACAGGTAGGAAACTGCTTTCTTCCCCATTCTCCGAGGATAATCACAACAGAAATTGAAGAAGTCTCATACAACCAGTCTAACATTTTGCTATTCCAAAAGAGTCACTTGACCTAAACCGACTCATTCAGAAAACTGTCTAAATTCTTTTAAAACCCCCTCAGAGGGAAATGCCACTGTTCTGTCTAATCTGTATCTTTTGCTGATCTGACTTGGCCAGACAGTTTTTCTTAAAGTTAAATATCAGTCATCTCTGATGCAGCTTGGACTCATTATTCCTGGTTCTTGGAACAGCTGCTGCTAACAAGGAGTTTGGATGTGAACAGGATGCCCTGCCATCTGCAGATTTATCTTCCTTGGGCTGCTGCTCTTCCGGTTGTGCCTCCTGGAATGAGATGTCTGGGCTTTTCAGCTCAGAGGGCCACCGTGCAAGAGCTACTGGTCATTTCAGGCCTTGGCCCGGTCAGTGCATCAGGTGACAGTGGGTCCCAGCCAGCTACATATTATAGCTGCCTGTGGCCAGGCACTGGCATATTTCCCCTGGGACTATCCCAGCAAACGTAGGTGCTTTGGTCTCAGAGTAGGGAGGCGTTCTCTATCGACTTCACGGTCAGTCTTTCACCTGTACCAGGGAGACCCGCCCTGGGCTTGCTCCATCTCTTACTGCCTTCCCCACTTCCTCTTCCTCTGCTCTTCCTAGGTCTTAGTAACTACTCTGTCATGCAGGAAGATGCCTGCCATGTATATAATGTAGCATGGTTCATACCTAGAGTACATAAAGACTTACTACAATTCAGTAAGAAAAAGACAACCAGTCCAGTAGAAAAAGGGGCAAATAATATGAACAGGCAATTCATAAAAGAGAAAACCTAAAAATAATCTCAACAATTCTGAGAAAATATCCAGCTTTACTAATAATCAGAGAAATGATTTTCTACCCTGAGATTGACAAAAATCAATGTCTGACAGAAGAGTTGGCAGAGATGTAGGGAAATAGAAATTTCTGTTATGCTTCTGGTGGCTACGTCAGTTATTGGGACAACTGCTTTAGAGAGCTACTTGGCAGTATTGACATTTAAAATGTGCTTGCCAGGGGCACCTGGGTGGCTGTCAGTTGACTTTCTGAGTCTTGATTTCAGCTCAGGCCATGATCTCAGGGTCGTGAGATTGAGCCCAATGTCAGGCTCTGCACTGAGTGTGGGCCCGCTTGGGATTCTCTCTCTCTCTCTGCCTCTGTCCCCCTCCCCACTTGTGCACACACACACTCTCTCTTAAAAAAAAAAAAAAAAAAGGTAAAATGTGCCTGCCATCTGAGGCAGCAGTTCCAATTCTATGTGTAGGCCCTGGAGAAATTCCTGCACATTTTGTATATGGGTTCAAGGTTATTCATTTTTTAACATTTTAATTGAGATTATTATGGTTGTTTCCAAACATCCATAAAAATGGAGCAAATAGTACAATGAATTTCATGTACCTGTCCCCCGGTTTCAACAATGATCCCTTTGCCAATCTATACATCACAGTTTGTTTTTTTTTAAAGATTTTATTTATTTATTTGACAGAGAGAGAGATAGCGAGAGCAGGAATACAAGCAGGGGGAGTGGGAGAGGGAGAAGCAGGCTTCCCGCGGAGCAGGGAGCCCGATGCGGGGCTCGATCCCAGGACCCCGGGATCATGACCTGAGCCGGAGGCAGACGCTTAACGACTGAGCCACCCAGGCGCCCACATCACAGTTTTTAATAGCTAAAATTTGGAGACAACCTCTGGTCTGTGTCCCTAATTTGAGCATGGATGAGCTGTAGTATGTATACCATTATACAGCCATTAAAATTAATGAGCTAGGGGCGCTTGGGTGGCTCAGTCGTTAAGCGTCTGCCTCGGGCTCAGGTCATGATCTCAGGATCCTGGGATCGAGCCCCGCATCAGGCTCCCTGCTCAGTGGGGAGCCTGCTTCTCCCTCTCCTACTCTCCTTGCTTGTGTTCCCTCTATCGCTGTGTCTCTCTCTGTCAAATAAATAAAAAACTTAAAAAAAAAATTAATGAGCTATATTGACTTGTATCAATGTGGATAGATTCCAAATATGTTGGGTGAAAAAAGTGAGTTAAAAAATGACAGTATATCATTTATGGAAAAATTAGAACACAAGTGTATGTTCTGGATACACATCTAGGTAGATGTGTATCCAGAATCTAATCAGTATAAAATCCACAAGAGCAAGAAAAATTGCAGCTGTTTGTTGAGTTGCTTTTTTTCCTTTTGTTAACTTTAACTGTAATTTTATCAAAATAATATATGTGGACACTTGGGGAAGTCAAATTGTGTCATGAGGCCTGTAAAAACTCCCATCAGTCCCCTGCCCAACCTGCCCTCCCTGATTGTCTCCCCAGAGGCAAACACGTTACTCCTAGCTGCTGACACCCCTGTTTGCACAGGGCCTTTGACTCTGTCTGCTGGTCTCTGCTGTGGAAGACTTCGCTCCCTCCACCCCAGCCCCCGACCTGTACCACTTTCCCTGCTTAGGTAACCATTTTTGTTTAAGTACATTTTCAGTTTGTACATTATTAAAATCAAGTAAATATTCACACTTGAGAACCCCAGGTGCATATGTGGTAACATTTTCTTGTATAACCTCTCAGTTTCCTGGAGTTACTGTTTGCCTCACTCTTCATCCCTAAATTGCAGATTGCCATCTACTCTCCATTCTTTCAGGGGCTTCAGGCAATCTAGTACCCCCTTTCTCTCCCTCTCCTGGCCTCTGCTATAGTCCGGGCAGTGGTTCTCTGTCACCATCTTTCCGAGAGCCCCCCTTGCCTCTTTCTGTGCCGGCTCCCACGTTCCTCATCTTGGCTTATTTACTCCCTCATCTTGTTAGTGCCCCTTCGCCAGGAGCTTCCCAGGCAAATGGGCTCATGGGCAGTGAGCTTGCCTTTGCTGGATGTGCCCAAAAAGGTCTTTGTTTTGCCCCCCCCCCACTTGATTGGTAGTCTAACTGGGTGGAGAGTTCTAGGTTGGAGGACATCTTCCCTCAGAAGTAGCTTCTGGCTCAGTGTCCCTGTCAAAGACCGTTACGTGACCTTCTTCTCGTTCTCCTTTTTGGAAGTGTAGTAGCCTGGATAGTGGCCCCGAAAGATCTCTGGGTCCTCATCCCTGGACGCTGTAAATGGCAAAAGTGTTTTTGCAGAGGTGATGAGGGGAAGGACCTTGACATGGGGAGATGACCCCAGCTTACCTGGGGACCCTTTTAATGCTGTCACACGTGTCCTCGGGAGAGAGAGGTAGGAGATTACACATGGCAGGGAAGGCCGAGTGCCCCCAGAGGCCAAGACTGGAGGGATGTGGCCCCAAGCAGAGGTGTCTGGCAGGCACCACAAGCAGGGGGCCGTGGGATAGGACACCCTCTCCCAAGACTTTGGGGGGATCATGGCCCTCCCAGCACCTTGATTTGAGCCCATGTAACTGATGCTGAACTTCTGGCCTCCAAAACGGAGAGGGAATAGATCTTTGTTGCTTTAAGCCACGAAGTCTGTGGTGATTTGTGACGCTTGTGCAGCGAACTCATGCAGGAAGCTGGCGGACCCCGCCTGGTCCCCTCGCCAGGTGGGACTTGCGGCGTCACGCTGGCATCTCCAAGCGCCCTCGCCACCGCCGCCGGAGTGCACGTCCCCAGCATCGGGACTGCTTTGTGCCAGTCTTCCTGTTCTGCTCTCTGGGCAGTGTCCTCAACTGTCTTCTCATTCTTCTATTTATTATGGTTAAAAATGTCTGCAACTCTATTTTTAATTTCCTAGAGCTCTTTCTCGTTGCCTTTAAAATAGCTGCCGCCTCTCAATGCAATAGCTTCTCTTACTTCTCCAAGATTAATTATAGTTTTTTTCCTAACTATCTGCTCTCCATATTACTCTTCTCCTCAGAGTTCCCTGTTTTATTCCCCATTTGTTTTGGTGAGTTTGGGGTGATCGCCTCAAATAGCTGGTGATCTTGGCTGTCCATTCATACTGAAGAGTGACACAGACGCGGGTCGGAAAGCCTGGGTGCAGTGGGACTCGAGGGCTGCTCATCGCCGGCCACCACACCCCTTGGAGGAGAGACTGAGGCAGCCGCTTCCCCAGCACCTGCCAGTCACTGCCGCTCTGCCCTGGGCTGGTGGCTTCCTTGAGAGGGGTCCTCGCCATGCCGCCTGCCTGTCAGCCCGGGGCCGCTTTGTGGAAGCTGAGGGGTGTGTGGCGTCCCTGCCCTGCCTGGCCACCCTTCCCCAGTTCCCCGGGCTCTGTCTGCCACCTGTCCCCCCCGGGTGGAGCCTCTCCAGGGCCTGGGGGCCAGGGGCAGCGCCATCTGGCCTGCCTGGGTCTCACCTCCCTTGACTCTAGACCCTTGCCCTCGGGGCACAGGGAACTGTCGCGGGGGTGTTGGGAGGACCTGGCATGTGACCTGAGGGGTCTCAGGACCGAGCAGTCCTCCTGGGGGCCGCGGGTGTTGCTCTTCCTCGCTGCTCGCTACCTACACTTCTCTGTTAACTGGGCATCACTGGGCATCACTGCCGTTCATTCCTGCTTTTCAAGCAGGAGCCACGAGTCCTCCTTACCTGTGGCCACTACCCCTCGTCTAAGAGGTGCTGGCGGGTATTGCTGCCGCCGTGTTTCTGGGTTCTCGTTGTCTCTGGCCTACATTAGAACATCTTCCTCATTTGTCTTCCACCTTCTAGTCTTTCCTCCTCACATCCAGCTTCCTCAGAACGGCCGGAGGGGTCCCGCCACACTGCAGGTCTCTTCTCCCCTGCCTGGTTTCTTGGCTGGCACCTCCCGACCCCGGGGATACGGTCCTCGTCCCTTGCTGTGCTTGCAAGCTCCTGACCTGGTGTCCGAGTCCAGGTGCTGGCCCTTGACCTCCTCCTGAGCACCTTCACTCCTGCCTCTGGCCTCAGTGCACAGCCACTACGAGGCTGTTCCCTCCTTTGCCTTCGCTCCAGCTGCCCCACGCCTGAACCGCCTCCCCCTTCTCCTCGTCCTTGAAGATTCGGCCCTGGTGTCCTTCAGGAGGTCGTCCTGCTGCCTGCCCGCTCTCCGTGCAGCTGCATGCTCGTGCTGGCGCTGCTCGCTGCTCGTGGTCGCTGCCTCCCACTCGGCCTTCCCTGGAGGGGACACTGACCACAATCCTAAATAGCTCCGTACTCTGAAGGCCCTGCTGTGGCCTGGGTCAGCCTGAGCAGGTGAAAGAAGGGGACATTTTTACCAGCCTGTGTTCTCCCTTGTCCTGGTCCTTGGTTTTAGGGTCTCAGTAGGTTCTGGTCATCAGTGGAGAACCTGGGTCTGCTTGTTTCCTAGGGCTGCCAAAGCAAAGTCCCCGAAACTCAAAACAGAGATTTATTATCTCACACTTCTGGAGGCCAGAAGTCTAAAATCAAGGTGTCGGCAGGGCCTTGCTTCCTCCTGTAGGGGGGAAGGATGTCTACACAGAAGTGTAGGTAGCGAGCAGTGAGGAAGAGCAACACCCGCGGCCCCTGGGAGGACTGCTCGGTCCTGAGACCCCTCAGGTCCCATGCCAGGTCCTCCCAACACCCCTGCGAAAGCTGTAGGGGAGGGTCCTTCCTTATCTCCTGACTTCTGGTACTTTCTAGCAAGCCTTCTAGATTAATCTTTCTGGACACATGACCGTCTTCTCCCTGTGTGTCTTCATAGGATCTGCCCTCTGTGTTTGTCTTTCTCTGCTTCCAAATTTCCCCTTTTTATAAGGACATCAAGCATATTGTATTAGGGCCCACCCTAAGGGCCTCATTTTCACTGAATACCCATGCAGTTCCAACTAAGGTCACATTCTGAGGCCCTGGGGTTTGGGCCTTCCATAGGCCTCCTTGGGGAACACGGTTCAGCCCATACACTGGCATCTACTTTCCCGCCACCCTGGGACTGGGGTGAACTGCGTGAGCAAGTGGGGAGGGTGTCCTCCATGACTTTTCAGCAGGGGTGGTGTGCCGTAAAGGGGTCAGGGAGCTTCCTGGCCCACCCGCGTGCCTGCTGCATTCTGGGGTCTGTCTCCCTGCACAGCCACTGTCCAGAATGGAGTGCCAGTTGCCTTGCTCAGCCCTCCTGGTTCCCATCTTCTGTTTGGGAGGGGCTTTTTGCTGAACTTGCCCTTTCAGCTGAACTTCCTTGTTAACACTTTGGGCTCTAATCTGTGTGTAAGAGGCACTTGTATGTCCCACTAACTTGTGTGTGCGGCTCCTAGGAGGGGCTGTGACTCTTTGTCTCAGCATTCCATCATATTTCTGGAAACTCGTGATCTGAAGGATTCGTTCATTTGTTCGTTCATTAATTCATTCCCCAGACATTTAATCACGGCGTCAGGCACAGTACAGAGGACAAGGGAGACAGCGAAGGACAAAATAAACCGAGGATCCCGTCACCAAGGTCCTCCCAGTGTCTCGTGAGATGGGTCAACGAATCGTTATAACATTAAGTGCTCCTTCCCGAGGACAGATGTGACCTCACAGACATCCTCCATAGACAGGAAGACAGTGGGGTGTGGCAAGGACAGTGACAGAGCTTTTCCAGGGAGGGTGTGGAGCTCGCTGAGGAGGTGTGATGTCCAGGAATGCCTTCTGAGTGAGTCCTAAAGGATGTGGAGCTGTCAGGGCGTGGCCTTCTGACGCTCTGGTACCTGGGCAGGCGTGCGCAGGTCGGCAGTAGCTCTCCTTTTGCACCAGGGGGCAGTGTTCAACCTGCCAGTCTCCCCTGCCCTTGAAAGAGGCTGGGTCAGGGCAGCCCCTGCTGTGCCAGTTGCACCCTCCTCATCCCTGTCCTTCCTGCCACTGCCCTGCAGGCCCAGACCCCTGGCTCGCCTCCTTTCTCGGAGCCTGATCCACGCCCCTGCCTACATATCCTGGCAGCCCACGCAGCACCATTTGTCCCAGTGTGGCTGTCCCACCCTCTTCCCCTGTCCCTGCAGCCTTAAATCAAGGGCTTGTGGGGCCATGCTGGCGTGGCTCTGAACCACGGAGGCCACTCACGGTAGCAGGCAGCTGAGCTGCCCCAGGCCACGTGCTGTTTCCTCTCCCGTCTCTGACTTTGGTATTCTCGTTCTCCTTTCTTCTTGTCTGTCACCTTCCCTGCTTTTGTGTCCTCTCTTCAGCTCCCCCTACCCAGACATCTCAGCCTTAGTCAAGCCTCTCTTGGGTGCTTTGATACCGGCTGAGTTCTTTCCTTTCATCTGTCCCTGCTGGCCACCAGCCCTGGCGCCCCCGTTAGACACAGTTAGGACAGTGCAGAGCTGCCTGGAGAGAAAGCTCCCCAGGAGTGGCCCCATCCATCAGAGGCTTGCTTCTGCCATGGCTGGAGTCCTCTGCCAAGAGCTCCTTCCTTCTGCTTTTGACCTGCTTTTGCTGGCACTGCTGACGCCAGCTGGGGGCCGGGGCTGGAGCCTGGTGGGGGTGCGCGTGCTGGGAGGGTCAGGGGAGCAGATGTATGGGAATCTTGTTCGTTCATTTGGAGATCCCTGGGGCCTGTTTCTGAGCCACTCTCCCTTCTTTTCACCCCCTCTGGCTGCCCTCCTACATGGATGTGCCGAGGGGCTTGGGAACGGGCGGCGGGGAGCCCAGACTGTGGGCTTCCAAAACCTCCATCAGCCAGGCACCCCCAAAGCAGGGCCATGGCTTCCCCTTCCGGTGTGCCTCCTGCCCACAGCTGCCCTCCGAGGCTGTAGGAGATGCTACATGACAGCTATTTAGGGTGGAAACTCTGGACAGATCCTTTTTTTTTTTTTTAAAGATTTTATTTATTTATTTGAGAGACACAGCAAGAGAGGGAACAGGGGGAGTGGGAGAGGGAGAGGCAGGCTTCCCACGGAGCAGGTAGCCCCAATGTGGGGCTCAATCCCAGGACCCTGGGACCATGACCTGAGCCGAAGGCGCCCCTGACAGATCCTTGAAGGAGCATTCCAGGGCCTGACGCTTGGCTCCACCACGAAGGTGGCAGCCTTACCCTGGTCCCAGCAGGGCTCCTCTGGCTGAGAGCACACCCACCCTGAGCACAGTGGCCGTATTGTGTGGACAAAAATGTGGACGATGATGGCCTGACAGCCGAATTTTGTGCTGTTCCTGGTTGCAAGAGGCAGCCTAGGAGATGTAGTTTAGGTCTGCAGTGGTGGTACTTCTAGTGACCTTTTGGTGACTTATTGGACAAATTGAAGCTACCCTAGCTTACTGGGGACACAGGATTGCTGGCACTGTTGGCCTGCTCCCTGGTGGGACCTGCAGAGGCCACTGGTGGCCCTGCTGGAAGTTCAGGCCAGTGACAGGGCTTTTATCAGGAGTGGGATTTTTGGGGTTTTGGTTTCCAAGCGCCCGTCACGCTGTGCTTTCGATGAAAGCCACAACTTACTCCTTTAGTTGGTGAAGACTCCATATGCCCTGATGGATCAGAGCTCCCGCTCTGGAGGGCGGCATACACATTGGGCTCAAAACCAGCCCTGCTGGGTGGCCTGGGTGTGGTTCCTTACCTGTAAAGGGTGTGATGAGGAATGGTAAGAGTTGCCTGAGTTAGTACTTGATTACATCCCGTGCGTAGCTCCGTACCTGGTGAAGACTAAAGGCGCTGCTCGGTGTGCGGTCGGCACGGGTCCCCACCTGCCAGCACTGGCCTGGCACGTAGGCAGAGCTTGGGGAGTGCTGCGTGTCCTCAAAGCCAAGCGGGCGGGCCATCAAGACTGGGCAGAAGGCGCCCCGACCTTTCCCCTCCCTCCTTCCACAGGTTGTTGTAGGCACCTTCCTGACTTGATTGTTACCACTGCCTTCTCGAAGGAGAGCGCTGAGCTTATTGATCCAGTGTTGGAGGAGAAATCGAAGCTCGGAGAGAAGCAGGAAGTGTGGAGTCGTGCTGAGAGGCGGCGGGGAGAAAGCGGGTGTTGCAGACACCCCCTGCCTCACTGTGCCTCCGCTTGCCGGCAGGGCACTGTTTATGCGGCCCGAGTGAGAGTCAAAGCTGTCTTGCTCCCTGTCTCTAATGCACACCCCGAGGCCAAGGAAAGGGATCTGTCAGCTGGCATTTGCAAAAAATAGCGAACAGGCCTCTCTGGGACGGTCAGCTCTCTGGAGAGGAAACCAGGGTAAGGGGTCTGCGGGTGATGGTTGTTGCTTTTCTCTTACTCACGGCTTCTTTCCCCATCGCTGAGGCCAGGGAAGGAGATGTTTGCTCCCGTGCATCCCCCGTGTGGAGCAAGGCGACATGGTGTGCCTGGGGCAGGTAACCAGGCGCTTGCTGTGCTTGGGCCGCATCTGAGTGGCCTCTCCTCCTGAGGAGATCTAGCCGGCGAGGCTGTCCTGTCCGGGAGAGCAGCCTCCCCAGCCCAAGGGTTCCAGGGCTTTCCAAGATGCCAGGTTTGGTTAACGAGGCCCTTGGAGCTTTTAAGGGAGATTCTTAGCCAAACTGTCCGTGAGTTTGAGGATTTCTTAGTTACCATCCACCCACCGAAAACCCATGCTGGGAGCCTGGCCCCAGCCGCACACCACTCACCTGTGACCAGCACCTGTGGCTGTTCTCTGCCCTGGTGTGAGGATGACAAGGATGCCACCTGGAACAGCGCCCGAGGGAAGGCCGGCACTCCGGAGGCTGTTTTTGGGAAAGTGCCAGTGTGAGGTGAGGCTGGCACTCAGGTCACTCCACGATGCCAGGGCTTGATCTCTGAGCAAGGGGCCCCATTTAATGCCAGAGGCAGCCCCTCTAGGAGGGCTGTGGGAAGGGAGTCTGGTACCCGGCGGCCTCCCCATTGCCCTCCGCTCCCACCCCAGGGGCTCTGCTTCTACTGGTGGGTCTGGCCAGGTGCCTCCAACAGTGAAGCTTCCTGCCTCCATCCCACCTCCCCCCACCAAGCACTGCACAGGGGCCTCTCCTCCCTTCTGGGTTGGGAGAGGGGGCGAGATTCAGGGAGCAGTGGAATCTGCCCACTCAGCACCTCCCTTTGGCCCATCCCAGAGCCCACAAGCTCAACATACCCAGAGTGGACTCATCACACACGACCCATGAATGTCCTGCTTCCCGGAGGAAGAGGGTTCTGTGAGGCAGCCCACCTCTGTCCTTCAGGTTTCCTCCAGCTGTAGTTGATTCTGGAAAGGCCTCAGGAGGCACCAGGCAACTGACCGCCCACCCCTGGGTTTCAGGTCTAGGACGAGAGTAGAATTTGACAAGGGAAGAGGCTGGGTGCTGAGCTAGCCAAGTTCTAAGAAGGGTGGACGTGTTCTGGGAATGAGAGGACATTTTACTTCATCCCTGGTCCTTCTGTCCCCGGCCCAGAGCCCAGCTCTTGGTGTGTAAGGTGGTCTTGCCGGGGAAGGCCAGGCTGCAGGGTCTGTGAGAATCAGACATGGGAGTGTGTGTGGTGGGGGGGGGGGGGGGCGCTCTGAGGCCTGCGTGGGTGTTTTAGGCTCCCTCTTTTCCTCACTGTGAGCTGGGAGGCACTTGGTGCCCACCCTCTGCACAGCTTCCAGGGATCCCTTTCTGTATCTGGAAAAAGCAGGGAGTATGAGGGGGTGTTCATACACAAGATGACGGGGTAAGTGCCTGAGGGATAGCAGGAGCAAACCCACGCAGGTGGAAGAAAAAATTGGGCCTCCCCGGAAATAGTTGAAACTTCCAGAGGTTTGAGAATCTTGGTGCCACTGGCCTGGGCCATGAGGCTGCTCACCTGGGCAAGAAGACCTGGAGCTGGCTCACCTGGGGCAAGAGGTGAGGAAGGTGAGGTGGCCCCACTGTGTGTGGGGGGGGGAGGGGGCCCAGCCTCACTGTTGTTTCGCAGGATATATGGGAGTCCTTCACCTCCCCCAGGGAGACGATTCAGACATTCCACTTAGCTTTTTTCCACAAAGATCTTCCGATCCCTTCCATATATGTCTCCGTCGTGCTAATTGTAAATGACATCCCCAGTGGAGAAGGTATAGACTGTATGGAGAAGCATAAAGAAGGAAAAGAACAACACTGCACCAATTCTAGAACATGGGCGTGAGTGACATGCTGTCTGACAGAGCTCTTTCCAGTTATTTTCCTTGCCTAAAAAAAGCTTCCTGAAATCATATTATTTACCGTTTTAATTTCCGTAGCATCACGTTGTATCACAAGCATTCCCCTTGTCGTCAGAGCTGTGCAAACAAGCATCTTTAATGGTTACATTACATCTGTATAGATGCCCTAGTGTTGGATCTTTAAGTGGCTTCTAATTATTTGCTGTTGTAAATAATGCTGTTTTGAACATCTTTCTGCATCCATCTTGGTTCCCATTTTAGAATATTTCCTTGGGTTAAATTCCTAGAATGGTAACCACAGGGCCAAGGGGCAGAAATATTTCAAAGGCTCTTGATAGAATTTCCAGGGAGCTTTCCAGAGAGCTGCCCTGATATCCGGACCTCACCTGGTGGGTCTGTCTCCCATAGGCCTTACCCACACTAAATCTGGTTGTTTTACAACACTGTTGCTAATTTAATAGGCCAAGTGTCACCTCACTGTTCTCGCTTGTCTGTGGTGAAACTGCTGATGGTTTCTTAACCACTCCTGTTCACTGCTCTGTTTCTGAGCTTGTCCTAAAGGAGCGCTTTGCTTCTTCTTGACTTAACCCTATGTGGTAGTTTGGACTCTTTCTACGGGGCCTTGTCCCCACTGCAGAGCTGCCTGTGGCCCCGAGCAGAGCAGGCTTTCGGTGCCCAGGACGAGGCGAGGTGGGTGCTCTCTGGTATGTGTGCCATTGTCGTCTGCCGGGGCGGTGGGCCCCAGTGGCTCCCCCAGGAGAGCGTGCCCCTCCCAGTGGGCCGGTTACCTGAAGCAAATCTCAGGGGATCAGGCTGCTAGTGGAGCTGTGAGGGGGAGATCACGGGGTGATATCTGGAGTTCAGTGCACCTCAGGTGGCCGTTGATAGAGAAGGAGGCTTCTACCACTGTGTGAAGAAGTCGTGCTCCTGAAGTCTGAGTGGAGGCTTTGCTTCCTGAGACGGCACATTGATGCAGGTTGGCTCCTTGAGAGATCTGTCATTACCGTAGTTGCCTGGCCAGGCGGAACCCCAGTGGAGGGACACAGGGGCTATTGTGGCGCGGGGAGGTCCTAAAACCCAGGCTGCTGGGCCCCGGAGAGGGCACCGAAGGGGACTCTGATGAACGCACATTGAGGGCACGCAGGATTGCTTTAGGAGCTGGAAGTGTTTTGAAAGTTATTAGAGCGCTAGGGTGAGCTTGGATTCTGTTTGGGTTTAACTTTGCTCCCTTCCCTACAGCCAGTCAGTACCCCAGGGATTATTGGGCTTGGCCAGGGATTGAGGGTGAGCCTGCTGGCTTTCGTGTGGGGCACTAAGGGGCAGTGAGGGAGGGGGGCTGGGGTGGGACCCTCACTCTTCCTGAGGGGAACCCTCTTTGCCGAATCTGCTCTAACCCGGCTCTGACTTCCCAGATGCTGAAGTTCCAAACTGTCCGTGGGAGCCTGAGGCTCCTGTGTATCCGCCGAGCCTCCACCGCCCCCGCTGCCTCCCCAAATGTCCGGCGCCTGGAGTACAAGCCCATCAAGAAAGTCATGGTGGCCAATAGAGGTGAGTGCCCTTGGGGCCGGCGAGAGGAACCACGTATCCAGCCCAGCCTTAGCATTCCTGTTCTGCCCTTGCCCTGCGTACCAGCTCCCCGCCCCACTTCTGCTTCTGTAAGGACCCAGGAATCTAGCGTCTTGTCCCTTGCCTGCTCCTTTCAAGGGGAGATTGCCATCCGCGTGTTCCGGGCCTGCACAGAGCTGGGTATCCGCACTGTGGCTGTCTACTCAGAGCAGGACACAGGCCAGATGCACCGGCAGAAAGCAGACGAAGCCTACCTCATCGGTCGCGGCCTCGCCCCGGTGCAGGCCTATCTGCACATCCCAGACATCATCAAGGTGGCCAAGGTGATCAGGGCGGGCCTGGGTGCTATGCGTGGCCTCCAGGCCAGCCGCAGTAAGTGTCTGTGAATAGGGGAATGAATGAATGAATGAATGAATGAATGAATGAATGAATGAATGAACGAGCGAACCAAGTGGGGTGGGGGGAGGTGCACGGGCCACGGGGTTGGCTCTGGGCCTGTGTGAAGGAATTGGAGAGCTGCTGCACTCCTCCCACTGCTCCTGCCCCCAGGAAAACAACGTGGATGCGGTGCACCCTGGCTACGGGTTCCTGTCGGAGCGAGCGGACTTCGCCCAGGCCTGCCAGGATGCCGGTGTGCGCTTCATCGGGCCGAGCCCCGAGGTGGTCCGCAAGATGGGAGATAAGGTGGAGGCCCGGGCCATTGCCATTGCTGCAGGTACGTGTGGCCGACAGGCCACCAGGGGCCGCATGGCTCAGGAGGGGCTGTCTGAGGAGGGGGCTGGCGGGTTTGGGCAGGGATTCCAGCCTGTTACAGAGGACCCACGTGCCTGTCTCCTAACAGGTGTCCCCGTGGTCCCTGGCACAGATGCCCCCATCACCTCCCTGCACGAGGCCCATGAGTTCTCCAACACCTACGGCTTCCCCATTATCTTCAAGGCCGCCTATGGGGGCGGGGGGCGTGGCATGAGGGTCGTGCACAGCTATGAGGTGAGCAGAAGCCCAGGGCTGGGAGCAGAGCAGGGAGCCCAGCTGGACTGTGAGGCCACCCACAGAGCAGACCCTGGGGTTCCGAGAATGGGTGGGGTCCTGCAGAGGGTGAGACAGAGCTGTAGGGCCCAGTGTCTGCTCCGCTTGCCTGCCTCTCAGGAGCTGGAGGAAAACTACAACCGGGCCTACTCGGAGGCTCTGGCTGCCTTTGGGAACGGAGCGCTGTTTGTGGAGAAGTTCATCGAGAAGCCGCGCCACATCGAGGTGCAGATCCTAGGTGAGCGTTCGCGGGGCCACTGCCCAAGGCAGGCTGTGGAGGCTGGACTGGTCAGGGCCCAGGCCTTGGTGGTGGTGGTTTCTCTGCTCACTGCTCCGACTGCTGGGAGCCGGCATTGATCGGCCCTAGTAGTTGTGTGGGGGTTGGTGGGTATTTGGGAAGTGTTTAGATCCCTGGAGAAGCTGAGTTTCCCTTTCACTGTAGGAGACCAGTACGGGAACGTTCTGCACTTGTATGAGCGAGACTGTTCCATCCAGCGGCGGCACCAGAAAGTGGTTGAGATTGCCCCTGCCGCCCACCTGGACCCCCAGCTTCGGACACGGCTCACCAGTGACTCTGTCAAACTTGCTAAGCAGGTGAAGGGCAGGGGCCTTTGGGGACAGTCTCCCAGGTGGACATAAGGAGCCTGTTCCTAGAGGCTCCCTCTGAGCTCCTGCTGGCTTAGGCCTCATGCCAGGGGTCCTGTCCGGATGGGGACGGTCTGCTAGGGAGCAGGGAGGCCCAGAGTGACTGGCTCTGGGAGGGTGGGGTAGGGACCGTCTGGGAGGAGAAAGGGCTGACACGGCTCTTTGGGATCCTCGCTGTGTGAGAGCAGAGGTTCCAGGCCCAGAGACCCAAGCCTGGAATCCAGAAAGGCTGAGAAGAGGGAGGGAAAGAGGCCACTGGCCACTCTGCACAGATGGAGCTTCTGCGTGGCACTGACTAACCACTGGAACAAAAGGAATGAGATCCCGTGGATTCTGGCAAGATTAAGAAACATTATGAAGGCATTTCTTCTCATTCATTCTCGACCGTCCCCGGCATCCCATCTATTGCCCCCCATTGAATCCTCAGGTCCTCCTCTGCCAGTCTTCGCTCTACTGGGCATGGAGGCGGGAGATGGCATACTGGCTCCCCCAGCAGTGACCTGCCCCCCAGGCCTGGCCCGGAGACCATCTGCCATGGCCAGGCCTGTAGCAGGGGTCCCGCTGTCTGTTCTTTGTTCAGAAGAGAGCCCACCCCCTCTCAGAGTCCAGGCACCCTGCCCCCACCCCGGCCTCCCCTTCCCGGGGCCCCGAGGGAGAGCATCTTCTCAGATCTGCCTTCCCCAGCAGACGGGGTGGGCCCTGGTCCTGCTCTCCTTCCAGAGCTGTGCTCCCGCAGACCTCTCAGGCAGCAGACGATTCTGTGACCTTACCGGCTGAAAGACTGGGGCAGCTCTCTGCAGAGAGGTTTCAGCCACAGTTAATATGAGGCTTGGTCAGGCTCTAGTTTAGAGTTGACATTTGGGTTATTTCATATGAGGAGTAATCTTACCTGGAGCTGGGTCTAATTTATTGGCTTATTAGGACACGTGTCACTCTATAACAGATTTGAGGGAGCTAACTGAAGTCTGTTTTGTGGTTCTGGTAGGACCAGAGTGAGACTGGAATGAGGGTTGAATTTTGCATTAGAATCTTCACTGTTGGTTCCTCTCAGCGGACACCTCTTTGGGTCATGGCCAGAGGTGGTGACGAGTAGAGCAGAGGGGAACTTTCTGAAAACCCTCTGAGAGTGAGGAGGTCCAGCAGAGGCCGGGGTAGGTGTGGCTGAGAGGGTGCTGGGATGCTGTCCTCTGGAGAGAGGGTGCCGAGTCTGGGGCGCATGGCAGCTGCTGAATCTTGCCCCAGACAAGCCGGTGCAGCCACCAGAGGCTCAGGCGGAGTCCTGGGGAGCCGGCCAGGCAGGGGCCCAGCTGTGGGCTACGTGGGCTGCGGGCATTCGCCCCGGGGCAGGGCTGGTTGTGCTGTCCATTGGGGCAGGGCATGTGGCGGTCTGTTCCTTTTGGAACCGGCCCGATGGCTGAGGCTGAGCCAGAGTGGCTGCCAGGCCCCATCAGTCGGGCCCCACTGATGCGACCGCCCCGCAGGTGGGCTACGAGAACGCGGGCACGGTGGAGTTCCTTGTGGACAGACATGGCAAGCACTACTTCATCGAGGTCAACTCCCGCCTGCAGGTGGAGCACACTGTCACCGAG